CCACACCCACACACACACACATATATATATATATATATATATATAAAACCAAAATTTTGTAAATAATCAAAAAAATATTTAGATCAGCACGCTAATTATGGACATATTTTGTTAACATTTGACAACAAGAAGGTGGCCAAATGTAAAATACTAAATACTATAATTATTTTATTTTGATTAAAAAAACAAAATAATCAAAATATTTATGTACAGAAATTGTCCAAATTCTGAAAAAATGATTAAACATATATGCTGAAATATACTGTTCAACAAAAAAGTTAATTTAAACCTTTTAGACGGTTTGTGAATTGGTTTGCCTGATAAATGTGATTGTATAACTAAACATTCATACAGTTGAACTGCAGTATTGTTCAAGTGTTCAAATAAAACTGCATGCACTATTTATGATATTAAACTTCAAACTGAACTTTGAATCACACTCAAACTCTCTTGTGCATCTTCAAAGTCAAGCCCTATTCAATATGCACTCAACACGATTGTGAAACATACCGCTCTCAAACTGTTTGTCAATGTCAGTTAGAGAACATGCTAAGAATTAGAACTGGAATGTGATCATCACACTAATAATGTAAAACTCCATAATGCATCATTTGTATCATCCTGCGGGGGTACGAGAAACAAATGACTAGTTGTTCATTTACAGGACTCTTCTCATGACTTACTTTAGAGTCTCCGTCAGTGGTGAGATTGAAGACTGGCATTGTGCCGGTAATGACGAGCCCCAAACCCTGTAAAAAACAAAACAAAAACATACACTGCCATATAAAATGTTTGTTTTTATGGCTGTGAACTAAAGGAAGTTCACAGTACACTGCACACATGAATAAAAGGCTGCCACATAAAAAAACCGCCGTCCAACTCGTAGTAAAATTATATGGTCAATGACAAAGCAAACTAGCTGTGGAGATTCAAATTTGTGCATTCTGGGAAGAAAACAAAGAATGAACAATATCACAGTCAGTGGCCGCCACTAACAATCCAATCTGAAACGGTTTCTCAGTCTCAAATCAATGTGTGTTTCAGTGTTTCCTAAGGATGCAGTTCTTGCAGCGGGGTGCAGTAAACCCCTAACGCGCTAAACAATAACTAATAGCATTTCTTCAACAGTTTATAAACAAAACACTTATTTTAATAGAACTCTGTTGTGCATATGTATATTTAAGTACACTATGTCCAACCAGTCAGTAAGTAGACTTAAAATAAAGTTTTACTAAGCTTACAAATGAACATTTATCTTAAAAAGTTTATGTCTCAGACTTAACATAACACCTAAGTCATTCAGTGAGTGAGTCATCCAAGCTGATTCACTCAGAAAGTGAGTCAACTGACTGATTCAGACTGTTCTATTCCGATTGAGTCACTAATAGGTGAATCATTCGAAAGAATCACACCAATCAGTGGATTTATTTGTGAATTAGACAGCCTGCTGTGCAACAGAAATGCAATAAAATCCAACTTTTTATTGTCAATATGCTATTTTGCAGTTCTCAGACTAAAAGTGTGCAACGATTCCTATTCTAAGCTATATTTCATCCAGAGATGTGTAACCTAAGGGTATGTTTATACAACAATGTTGTACTAAAAAGAGAAACGTTTTGAATGTCAAAACAGTCCCCGTTAACACAGATTCCATAGAAACGACTAAAAATGCTGTATTATGAATGCCAGGCCAGAAGTTGGCAATGTCACTTCATAAAAAAACACTGCGCACATGTGCACATACCTACAGACACGCAATATGCATACGGCATCAGAATTTTAATAAAACAGTATAGTTTTCAAAAACGTGAGCCGTTGTTGTGTAAATGAACGTCCAAAATGCATAAAAAAGTGTTTGTTTTTAGTTGAAAATGCTGTTGTGTAAACGCCCCTTTAATCAGGGGTTCTCGAGTAAGGTCATAGAAATATTAATATCTACTATTGATTACGATATTAAAATAGATGTTTCATTTAACAGCATTTTTCTGCAAGATAAACACAAGCAATTCATAAACAAACACTCAATTCAAGTGGGCTCAGATTCTGTGCAGGCTGATCGAAATTATACAGTGCAATTTTGAGTTGATGATGATGTTGATGATGGAAATCTTCCATACCAGAGCATCCTGGTAAACATTGGTCCACTGCACTTGTTTAGCCCGTTCACCTGCCAGCACCATTGGCCGTCCAAGAACATCCAAATACTCCTGATAACAAAAAAACACACAAAGAATTCAACACACATATCACAAGAACTGTAGTGCAACTCAGTTTTACAACAAACACGACCAGGAGCACCAATCGAAACGATCCATTCTCAACAGGTTACGACTAATAACACTCTGAGCTCTGAAAGTGCGACACTAAAGGCAGGAGTCCACACCTCCCTCTGTCATAAAGCAAACGACTTCGACTCGCCGCTCCATTACATAAAGCACGCTGTTAAAAGCGTCCGCTCGAGGGGCCAGTAAAGCCAGCTGCACAGAGGCACTTCCAGCCGTAACAAATCATCATAAAGCAGCTATTAAAGCATATTACAGCTGCTAGAAAGCACATTCTCGCTCTGGAGGGGTAGGGTGGGCTGCCACAGGACGGCACTTGTTGGGTCGCCGTAAGCACACATTTATAAATGACAATTCTGTTTTCAACACAACACTCTTTGGGAGGTTAATCATTCAAAGAAGTGAACCTCTACAAAACTGAAAGA